CAGATGGAGCAGCATTTACTACACAGAGCCGTAGTTCACTGACAAGCTACACAAACAGCTTTCATAATCGCAGAACGATTTCTTCTATTTCATATTTGCGCGATTAAATCGTCTGCGATTATGAACGCGATTTTGAGGTGGTTTTCTAAGGGGAAAACATTTATGTAAAAATCTTGTCTTTCTACTTGGATTACGGTGCAATATTGTCTTAGTAGTAGATCAAGAAAACTGTTTTTTCCTAGTCTTTGTTTTACAACATTAAGCGTTTTAGAATGTCCCCATAAATACAACCTTTTCAACATGACTTGAACACAATGTTCACTACTGTGCTGGAAAGCCGCAAATGGAAAATCTGGAATGATTGCAGAACTCTTTGACCAAAAGAAGAAATATCTGTCGCTCTACTCCAGTCCGGCTTTGCTAGGTGACACGCAAACCTTGATGCTTTGGCTTCTTTTGTAACTAATTTAGTTGGCTGAGAAGAAATACGTGAACTAACTGGGTCAACTTATGTCTCAAACAAAGGTTAAACAAAATAAATCACTTAACTCACAAGTATAAAAGCAAAACTTAGTCATGTCATACTAAATATCAGTAAGGCTATTACCAGCCTACAGCTGTGCCTATATTCAGAATAACAGCACCCTTGCTTGTGTGACAGTGCTTAGAATGGGGTACAATCGGTATCATGTAGCCTACGTTACCTTTTCAACACGAAACATTTCATATCACCAAAAATCATTTCATCTACACGTGTTGCTGGAATCTGGATCAAACAGTAGCAGCGTTACTGTAATGCATGGGCTTACCTGCTGGTATGAGGAGTCCTCTGGGCGAAAATCACTGCTGGTTTGTTCAAACTGCAGATTAAAGTGAGGCAGTCTGTGGAGAAGGTTAACCCACCACGGAGGAGAGTAATTCACAACGGCTGCCATAATCTTTATGACAATAACACTCCCGAGTCGAGCGAAACTAAAGCAGGAAGTCGAAAACTTCTGTCAGGGTTTAAACAAAATCATTAGATTAAAAAGTCACACATAAAGCTGCTCTCCCCTGAAAAATGCACATTTATCGTCCATCGTCCATACTGATATGGAGCTAAAAACGACCAGTTGTTTAGAGCGCCTGCAGTCCCTGGAGAGAAACCGAAACCTGAATGTTAAGTAAAACGAGGGGTTTAATTAATCAACATGGATCGGTAAAGAGCTAAAAATTTCAAGCACTAAAACGGTTCAGAAGTGTCCAGTTGTATAAAACAGGACTTCAGCTTTCCTATGCCTACCGGCTGGCTGGCATACGCAAGGGAAGCGTGTATTACAAGCTCCCACTTCCCCTCTCTCCAAACTGCCTATTGTTTGGATACATTAAAACTACACGCACGCACGCACGCACACAATAAACCCTGAGATATGCAAGCATTCAGAGCTGAATCCTTCCGAGACCCACGCCTCAGTCCTCGGGCTGCTCTCAACGCCAGACAGTTGTAAGATGTGTCTCCCTTGTTTAATGTCAGTCATTGGCCGAGATTAGTGCCAAGCGTTTGTCCATGGCTCCGTCATTCCCACGGTGAAACTCCTCCGTCCCTTTGTCCTTATTAGTCCTAAATGACCGGGGAAGGTGTTTGTGAAGTCGAAATGCCCGTGTGTGTAGCGGACGCCACGCGACTCCTCACTGTCGACAAAACTTACTCGGTGAGATGATCTCGAATTCAGTGTGAGCGAGTGAAGAGCAATCAAACAACGAGCCGAAGCCACCGCAACAAAACTCACGTTAAGATAGTAGAGATTTATCACGGTATGAAACAACTGTTGAGAAGGCTGACATCTAGTGGTCAGACAAAATACTACACACAAGGGTTAATGGGAGCAAACCACCCATTTTTGCACCTCTCCTGGTGCATTATTTATTTATTTACTTACTTATTAAATATTAGAAATTATAAAATGAATGATATAATGATAAATACAAAATGTATTAATTTATAAAATATACATTTAATATAAAATATTAAATTCATTTCTAAAAAAATGAAATCAAATTAATTGTATTGATTTTAAAGGTTAAAATGTGATGGTTTTAACATCAAATCCCATGGCTTAAAATTATTGAAAGCATTCCATATTTGTTGATAAAATATTAAAATTATTCATAAAATTAAATAAAAAGTAAAAATGAAATCAAATGAAACTGTCAAAAATTCACAGTTGACACAATTCATTGGTAACCTCACATTCTGTGGCATAAAATGGTCAAAACATTCTATATTTGTTGATTGTGTTGAATTCATCACCTAAAAATGATACATTGAAGCATGCAGCCTGTTATGCTGTAAAATGTTTCACTACTGAAAACTACAATGCATTTTTTCTAAGCTGTAAATAAAACAAAGATTATTGGAGCATGTTTACAAGAAAATATGCTTTTTTTGTAATTATTTATGAAATTTACTAGCAATTTCAGAGTGAAAATTATTTCTACACAAGTTTTTTTTCGTTGTAAGGTTAATTGCTGCATTAAAGTAAGTCACAAACTATATAGTACTGAGTTCCTTGCACTTTTTAACACTTAGATTTTAATTTCTGATGAAGAAGACTAAATTGAGACTCAATTTATTAACAATCCATTACAACAAATTAAAAAGATGGAAACAAAGAGGCTGATACAACATTATGATGAAATGTTGGGGAATCAGTGCACATAATGCCAAGCCAAAATTTTTCTCAAAACTGCAACTAGTTTTTGGTTTGAAAGAATGATCTGATACATTTTTATAAAATTGAATCTGATGTGGTCACAGGGAGAAACTATAACAAAAATGACCTTTGACCAAAATCTTAAGGAATTCAAACCTAAGCAAATTTGGGTTTGCTGGCTTTCTACTCATTCATGACACTATAAATAAATATCTGAATTCTGTCTTTATGCCTGCAAGATAGACAGTCAACACTTTCTCAAAACAAGTGAAACCTAAAACTGTGATATGGTTTCTGCTGTTATAAAGAATCTGTAAATAGGCAAGTCTACATAAAGATATATGCCAGGATGGAGAAACAAAAGTGTAATTGGAGTGGGTTTCATTTAAGATGGTTAGAGCCAATGTGCACTATCATCAGAGTAATTATTAACTATTTGGCCATTCAAATATACTGTGAAATTTACATACACATACTGCTAAAAAATGACATATTCCATAAATGTAAGTGATTCTAGTTTAAAAATAATAATACATCAAACTTAGAACGTAGAGATTTAAGATACATAAACTCTTTAAACAAGTCCATTAAATCTGGCAAGATAAAGAGACTGTCTTACAAAGCTGATGCTGTGAAATGATTAATGATTGGTGGCACTGGCACCATAATATTACATTTGCATGAGCTAAGATGTGCAAGTCATTTTGATCTTTGGCATTTAAGCTTTGCAGAGCTAGTATAATAATATGATAATTAGTCAACAATATGCTGAGCAGTTCACACCTTACTGGAAATGTTGATGCAATGTAAATAGGAATAAAAAGTATTTGGTCTCAAGGAATGATTCATCAAGATGTGAAGATTTCTTATGACTCCTAATTAATTCACAAATTACCTTTTAATGTGACCTTAGCATCTTAAAACTTTTCTCGGTCAGAGAAAAAATGTACTTCATACAATTTTATCTCAATACTTTATAGCTAATGAACTCTTCATGGCTAATATTTTCAATTCCCTATAGTTAAGTTGGATTTAGTCCAGGATGTGTTGTTTTGACTTCAACAGAAAAGTATTTTGACTAAATGAGGAACAGTGGAAAGCAATCAGAGGTTTAATTGACCTTCACAATGCAATGGCATAACATGTTCCTTCGTCAGATGCATCAGGATGTGTTGTTTTGACTTCAACAGAAAAGTATTTTGACTAAAAGAGGAACAGTGGAAAGCAATCAGAGGTTTAATTGACCTTCACAATGCAATGGCATAACATGTTCCTTCGTCAGATGCATATTAATCTCTTAATTAGGTTAATTATTAGTTACTAATTATTAATTAGGTACTATAGTGAGCAAAAACATATCATAAGCAATAAACTGATACACAATGTCAAAATGTAGACAATAGTAATGTCTATTTACTCATTTTGTTTCTGCTTTATTTATTGCAATATATACAACAATATAGCTCATGAGGTTAGTGTGGCTGTTTTCTTGTAGGCTATATTAGCTTTGTAACAGATCACATATCTGAGTGAATTACCTTCTTCTTAACAAATTACACTTGAATTAAGTAAAAAAAAATATTTGAATGTCTATTGAAAAAGACAGGACATTCTAACCACACCTCACAGAGCCTGTTAAACCTGAGGCTCCACCCACCCGCTCTGTCACATACTGTACCATGTGTTTCCACATCACTACAACTTTAAGGAGAGGGACATTCCTGATCTTTTCTGCAGGAAATCACATGGAGGTGCCATCGCACTCACATGACATCTGACCTATGGCAGCGGACATCAATGAAGGTAAGGAATAAAAATTACAGCCATTCAAAGCGAAATATCGCACAGTTTCAGATGATGTTTTGCCGGGTGGTTTGTTTATTTAACTTTTGTACTGGCGGTTGTCTGCGAATTTGATTTCTTGACTTCCTAAATTTCTCTGATGGTGTTTTAAAAAACCGAGAGAGTCACTTTAACGCGAGTTAAGCACTTTACGTTGTTGTCTTGCATAAATGTTTTCTTTTATTTGTTGTTTCACTGGTTTCACTTGTTTAGTGAGTATGCATTACCGGTTAATTCAAGTTTTCCAGACTGACAACTCCGTTGCTAATTTAAAACTGATATGTCCATATAATGCTATAGCCTGGCGATTTTAAATCTTTGTTTGACAATATTTTATCGATTTGTGAAGGAGTTAAAGCCGAATGGTTTATCACATTGATTATTGATTATAAAGACTGTCAACTGGCGCGAAAGTCTGATTTAAACCAATCGAATAATTTTCTCTGCGATTATTTATATTTTGTCCTGACGCCACTGGATTCGAATGGGAACTCAAAAGCCAGTTTTATTCACTAACAAACAGCTCTTGAAATGTATTTTGAATCTACCAAATAAAAAAACCAAGCCCCTCAAAAACTGTTTCTGTTAAATGATTTCAATGAGGGCATTTGTTTGGATTTAATGTTGCTTTTATTTAGTTCTGTTGTGTTTCTATTTGTATCAGACATAGCCTACACTGTGTCGAACGTCTTGAGAACGTACTGAACTCTTCAATAGAAAAAAAATACAAACGTATTGCGCAACTACAATACTCTATCAGTGTTGGAGCAATCAGCTTGTTTGGAAAAATAAAATAAAAGATTATTTCAGTGTGTTCACTATGCAATACAGTAACAAAATTAAAATTTTCCCAGTCACCTCTTCCAAGTCAATTCATTCGGCATGTCAACATAAAGCTCTTAACATCCGGTCTTTTGACTGTAGGATCTGTCCCTTCATACTATCGTGAAGTACATCAAGCCATCTGCTCCAGAACTGATGAAAGAGTGCCTATCGGTGTATTCCAGAGAGTTCTCAGCAGAACATCTCTCTCCACTACTGTTCAAAACCAGGTGAGACTTGCACTAGGATTACATGTCATTATTGGCTAGAAAGACTGTAGCTGATAGTTAGCTAAATTACATCCCACATGCTTTGTTTAATGACATTATTTATGGTTGGAAATGGAAATGTTATGGTTTGGGTTTTCTTGTGGAACCATGGCTTATTCTGCACAGGCTGAAAGGCATCTCATCTACATTTTAGATAGCCGAACATGTAAACAATGGTGATGGATTCCTGAGTAAAGTCTCGCTGTATAAAGGCTTGGCTCTCATTGCCCTTGCTCAACAAGGAAAACCACCAAGTCCCAAACTGCTAGAGAATTTCATACAAGGTAAGCATAAGCATATCTATTCCTCAGCTGACTGTAGTAAAGTAACCCCAGTTAAGTCCCCATAAAAAACGGTCTTTTGTTCAAGATGTCATGTGATATTATATTGCCTCTTACATGCTGTCCCAACTGAATTACATTCAAGCTGCATTTCAGTGTCACCATCTGTTTGCAGTGATTTGCACACTTTTTTCAAAATTTCTAAGGGAAAAATCAGCACTTTTGAATCTTAAGTAGTTCTGTTCCTGTTTTATACAGTATGTATGTATTATTTACATTCCTCAGGTCTACAATTGTTCTGGGCTGGTTGTGCGATGGTGTTTGAGTGTTTTTTATCATCACATATGATTTATATAAGAGCTCTGAAGAGTTAAAGTTTCTATTCAACAGGCCTCTTGTGTTATTTCAGGTGTTGCCAGTATGACAGTTGACTGTGCACTTTAATAGTGATGTTTCCTGTTTTCTCCTCTAAGCAAGACCAAGTTTCCTGTCAACTGCATGCCAAATGCATATCTCTCTGTGGAATGACCAATAAACATTTTTTTTTTTTGCATTCCACCAAACAAAAGCAAAGATCCTGGTTGAATCTGCTGCTGCTTTTTGCTGAGTCAAGCAGTTTTTCCCATTTTCCAGATTTTCCGTTCTAAATTTGACACACAAACCACAGAAATTCACAGAAAAAAACATTGTGTGCCACACAGCTCAACATTGTTTATAGTTTTTCTTTCATTCTTTGTCATTCCTTGTGACCTTTCTGTAATACTGTGTTATTTATGTGCTGTCACAAGACTCTCATGGAACAGAGATGGAAAGAAAGCAATCTTCTTCTTTATATTATGTAAAATGATTAAGTATGATACTGTGATCACTCACGTGTAATGTATCGTCAGTCACATCTGACTATCACACCTCTTTAAATATAGTACAGACTCTGTTATACGCCATGTTTTTTTAAGAGTTCCCGAAACCTCAGCTGGGAGAGCCAAAGGAGCTTCAGACTCTGAAGATGCAGTCGGTTCAGGAGAGTCCTTTGAACTTGTCTTTGACTCTGGCAGAGCTGTTAAAGAAGGACACCATCAAAGTTGAGCTCATTCCCGAGAAGAAGGGACTGTTTCTTAAACACGTGGAGTATCAGGTCACCAGTGAGGTGAGTGACTTAGGAGGCAGTATTAAAGTTCATCCCAAAAGTAAAAATGTGCTAATAATTTACCCACCATCAAGTTATCTAAGATGTAGATGAGCTTGTTTCTTCACAGAACATATTTGGAGAAATGTAGCATTACATCACTTGCTCACCAATGGATCCTCTGCAGTCTGCAGTGAATGGGTACCGTCAGAATAAGATAAAGACATCATAATAATCCACAAACCACGCCATGCTGGTTTCGTCTGGCCAGAGGAGAACTGGCCCCCCGACTGAGCCTGGTTTCAGAGGATAACAGAGGATGGACTTTTTCATTGGAGGAAGTGTTATTATGGATTATGGACTGGTATTTTGGCTAGAAGTGATTTAAAGTTGAACACCTTAATGAAAGATTTGTTTCTTACAAACATGCAGCTTTTCACTTGACAAGACATTAATTGAAGGACTGGAGTCGTGTGGATTATTTGTGGATGTTTTTATGCTGTTTGCACTCTAATTCTGACGGCACCCATTCACTGTAGACTGCAGAGGATCCATTGCTGAGGAAGTGATGTAATGCTAAATTTCTCCAAATCCGTTCAGATAAAGAAACAAAGTCAACTACATCTTGGATGGCCCGAGGGTGAGTACATTTTCAGCAAATTTTCATTTTTGAGTAAACTATTCTTTTAAAAGACCCAGTTTACAAGTTTACAGTTTTTCTGTTATTGGTCAGAAAAAAAATAGTTCCAACTCTATACCCTAAACCATTAGTTGAGTCATTGTTGCTGTGTCAGGCTGGCCATGATGCACAAACATAAAAGACTTCTCACCATATTAAGCTGAAAAAATGACCCACTTTAGCTTTAGTGACTGTCTCAGGTGATCCAATCACATGTGGACAGCTCAAAATACATTTGTAAACAAGGACCAGTGAGTCTGGCTCATGTTCTGAGGAATTGATTTCCTTGATTGGTTGAGATAAAATAGCTTTTAGATAATAGTTATAGAATGATGAGGGGCACAAAAAATATTATTATAAAAAGACCTCAGGGAAAATTTTTTTTTAAATATTTTATTTTATATAACAGATAATCATAAAAAAGTATTGTCTCTTCAGTGCTAAATTGTACAAAAAGACATTCAGTTGAGTTGCTACTGAGTCATTGCAACCGTTACAGTTGTAATATTTAAACATATCACTGATGGTTTATCTACTATGTGCCCTTTTGCAGCGTTTTACAGTATCAGTCTATCGGCGATACAATGATTTTGACATCTTCCATGAGCTTCTGCTTCAGAGATATGCTTACAGAGTCGTGCCGGCGCTTCCTCCCAAAAGGGTTCTGAAAGGAGGTAAGGCGTTGATTTATTCACTGTAAAATCTAAGCCTGTGAAAGGTTTGTAATCAAACCTGTAGATTATAGTCTTGTGCATTTCTCACTTAGACTGTGCTGTGACATTCAATACTTTCTGGGAATGCACCAGACTAACAATTGCAGCTCTGCCAAAATTAAAAAAAGTAAACTTGTTCTGTTTTTCTGCAGACTTCAGCAAGATGTACTTCCATAGTAACTGAGTACCAGAAAGTTCCTTGCTGTGTTTTATTAATGGAAGGACTATGTTTTGTTGTTCCTGGAAAAGTTTAATCTTTTCTCTGTTCTTTGGCCCCGCTGCAGTCCTGACCTCCATGACAGAGCGAGAGTTCATTGAAGGGCGGAGACGAGCTCTGGGCAGGTTTCTGAATCTGGTGGCACGACACCCTGATAAACTACACAAGTGTCAAAAGGTATAAGGCAATGCAATGTCTATTTGCTTATTTTGTTTCTGGTTTATTTATTGGAAAGGTAAATCTATACAAGTGAGTTTAGTGTGGTTGTTTTGTTTTGCCATGTCTTGTAAGCTATATTAGCTAACAGATTACATCTCTGGGTGAATTACATTCTAGAAAACATTCTAACCATATAAAACCAGTCTATAATGTCATATAAAGATGTGTTTGTCCTCAAAGAGCCTGTTGAACCTGAGGCTCCACCCACTGTCACATGTGTTTCCACATCACCACAACTTTAAGGAGAGGGACATGCCTGCTCTTTTCTGCAGGAAATCACATGGAAGTGCCATCGCACTCACATGACATCTAAACTATGACGGCGGACATCAATGAAGGTAAGGATTAGAAATTACAGGCATTTAAGCGAAATATCTCACAGTTTCAGATAATGCTTTGCCGTGCGGTTTATTTATGTACTTTTGTACTGGCGTTTGTCAGCGAATTTCTTTTCTTGGCTTCTAAAATTTCTCTGATGGTGTTTTAAAATATCGAGAGAGACAACACGAGTCACTTTAACTTAACGCGAGCTATGCGCTTTGCGTTCTTGCGTAAATGTTTCTTTTTATTTGTTGTTTTACTGGTTTCGCCTGTGTAGTGACTACATTACCTGTTAATTCAAGTTTTCCAGACTGACACCTCAATGATGGTTAATAATGTAAAGCTGATATGTCCATAATCCTATACATATGCTAAATATTTTAAATCTTTGACACCATTTTAACGATTTGTGAAGGAGTTGCGCAGAGCCGAATGATTAATTATATTGATTATGCATGCAGTCAATTGCACCCATCCTTATAGGCTGAATGTTGCCATTTTGATATCCAATCAAATAATTTTCTCTGCGACCGACGCCATTGGATTCGAATGGAAATTCAAAAGCCAATTCATTTCCAAACAGCTTTGGAAATGTATTTTGAATAAAATATATTTCGGCTGTGTTTCTATTAAATTAATTTAATGTACTATATGCTTGCGATGGCATATTTGTATTTAATGTTATTTTTTATTAAGTTCTGTTGTGTTTCCGTTTGTATTAGACTTACATTGTTTGTGTCTAACAAGAACTCACTGAACTCTTCAATAAAAAATACAAATGCATTGTGCAACTACAATATTCTGTAAGTGTTGGAGCAATCGGCTTGTTTGAAAAAAAAAGATTATTTCAGTGTGTTCACTTGTAACAAAATTGAAATGTTCCCAGTCAGTCACCCATTCCAAGTCAATTCCTTTGTTATGTCAGCACTAAGCTCTTATGGTCTTTTGAATGTAGGATCTGTCCCTTCATACTATCGTGAAGTACATCAAGCCATCTGCTCCAGAACTGATGAACGAGTGCCTTTAAGTGTATTCCAGAGAGTTCTCAGCAGAACATCTCTCTCCATCACCGTTCAAAACCAGGTGAGACTTGCACTAAGATTACTTGTGTCATTATTGGCTAGAAAGACTAGCCGATAGTTTACATCCCACAAGCTTTGTTTAATGACATTATGTATGGCTGGAAATGGAAATGTTATGGTTTTCTTGGGGAACTTATTCTGCACAGGCTTAAAGGTATCTCATCTGCATTTTAGATAGCTGAACATGTAAACAGTGGTGATGGATTCCTAAGTAAAGTCTCGCTGTATAAAGGCTTGGCTCTCATTGCCCTTGCTCAACAAGGAAAACCACCAAGTCCCAAACTGCTAGAGAATTTCATACAAGGTAAGCATAAGCATATCTATTCCTCAGCTGACTGTAGTAAAGTAACCCCAGTTAAGTCCCCATAAAAAACGGTCTTTTGTTCAAGATGTCATGTGATATTATATTGCCTCTTACATGCTGTCCCAACTGAATTACATTCAAGCTGCATTTCAGTGTCACCATCTGTTTGCAGTGATTTGCACACTTTTTTCAAAATTTCTAAGGGAAAAATCAGCACTTTTGAATCTTAAGTAGTTCTGTTCCTGTTTTATACAGTATGTATGTATTATTTACATTCCTCAGGTCTACAATTGTTCTGGGCTGGTTGTGCGATGGTGTTTGAGTGTTTTTTATCATCACATATGATTTATATAAGAGCTCTGAAGAGTTAAAGTTTCTATTCAACAGGCCTCTTGTGTTATTTCAGGTGTTGCCAGTATGACAGTTGACTGTGCACTTTAATAGTGATGTTTCCTGTTTTCTCCTCTAAGCAAGACCAAGTTTCCTGTCAACTGCATGCCAAATGCATATCTCTCTGTGGAATGACCAATAAACATTTTTTTTTTTTGCATTCCACCAAACAAAAGCAAAGATCCTGGTTGAATCTGCTGCTGCTTTTTGCTGAGTCAAGCAGTTTTTCCCATTTTCCAGATTTTCCGTTCTAAATTTGACACACAAACCACAGAAATTCACAGAAAAAAACATTGTGTGCCACACAGCTCAACATTGTTTATAGTTTTTCTTTCATTCTTTGTCATTCCTTGTGACCTTTCTGTAATACTGTGTTATTTATGTGCTGTCACAAGACTCTCATGGAACAGAGATGGAAAGAAAGCAATCTTCTTCTTTATATTATGTAAAATGATTAAGTATGATACTGTGATCACTCACGTGTAATGTATCGTCAGTCACATCTGACTATCACACCTCTTTAAATATAGTACAGACTCTGTTATACGCCATGTTTTTTTAAGAGTTCCCGAAACCTCAGCTGGGAGAGCCAAAGGAGCTTCAGACTCTGAAGATGCAGTCGGTTCAGGAGAGTCCTTTGAACTTGTCTTTGACTCTGGCAGAGCTGTTAAAGAAGGACACCATCAAAGTTGAGCTCATTCCCGAGAAGAAGGGACTGTTTCTTAAACACGTGGAGTATCAGGTCACCAGTGAGGTGAGTGACTTAGGAGGCAGTATTAAAGTTCATCCCAAAAGTAAAAATGTGCTAATAATTTACCCACCATCAAGTTATCTAAGATGTAGATGAGCTTGTTTCTTCACAGAACATATTTGGAGAAATGTAGCATTACATCACTTGCTCACCAATGGATCCTCTGCAGTCTGCAGTGAATGGGTACCGTCAGAATAAGATAAAGACATCATAATAATCCACAAACCACGCCATGCTGGTTTCGTCTGGCCAGAGGAGAACTGGCCCCCCGACTGAGCCTGGTTTCAGAGGATAACAGAGGATGGACTTTTTCATTGGAGGAAGTGTTATTATGGATTATGGACTGGTATTTTGGCTAGAAGTGATTTAAAGTTGAACACCTTAATGAAAGATTTGTTTCTTACAAACATGCAGCTTTTCACTTGACAAGACATTAATTGAAGGACTGGAGTCGTGTGGATTATTGTGATGTTTTTATCAGCTGTTTGCACTCTAATTCTGACGGCACCCATTCACTGTAGACTGCAGAGGATCCATTGCTGAGGAAGTGATGTAATGCTAAATTTCTCCAAATCCGTTCAGATAAAGAAACAAAGTCAACTACATCTTGGATGGCCCGAGGGTGAGTACATTTTCAGCAAATTTTCATTTTTGAGTAAACTATTCTTTTAAAAGACCCAGTTTACAAGTTTACAGTTTTTCTGTTATTGGTCAGAAAAAAAATAGTTCCAACTCTATACCCTAAACCATTAGTTGAGTCATTGTTGCTGTGTCAGGCTGGCCATGATGCACAAACATAAAAGACTTCTCACCATATTAAGCTGAAAAAATGACCCACTTTAGCTTTAGTGACTGTCTCAGGTGATCCAATCACATGTGGACAGCTCAAAATACATTTGTAAACAAGGACCAGTGAGTCTGGCTCATGTTCTGAGGAATTGATTTCCTTGATTGGTTGAGATAAAATAGCTTTTAGATAATAGTTATAGAATGATGAGGGGCACAAAAAATATTATTATAAAAAGACCTCAGGGAAAATTTTTTTTTAAATATTTTATTTTATATAACAGATAATCATAAAAAAGTATTGTCTCTTCAGTGCTAAATTGTACAAAAAGACATTCAGTTGAGTTGCTACTGAGTCATTGCAACCGTTACAGTTGTAATATTTAAACATATCACTGATGGTTTATCTACTATGTGCCCTTTTGCAGCGTTTTACAGTATCAGTCTATCGGCGATACAATGATTTTGACATCTTCCATGAGCTTCTGCTTCAGAGATATGCTTACAGAGTCGTGCCGGCGCTTCCTCCCAAAAGGGTTCTGAAAGGAGGTAAGGCGTTGATTTATTCACTGTAAAATCTAAGCCTGTGAAAGGTTTGTAATCAAACCTGTAGATTATAGTCTTGTGCATTTCTCACTTAGACTGTGCTGTGACATTCAATACTTTCTGGGAATGCACCAGACTAACAATTGCAGCTCTGCCAAAATTAAAAAAAGTAAACTTGTTCTGTTTTTCTGCAGACTTCAGCAAGATGTACTTCCATAGTAACTGAGTACCAGAAAGTTCCTTGCTGTGTTTTATTAATGGAAGGACTATGTTTTGTTGTTCCTGGAAAAGTTTAATCTTTTCTCTGTTCTTTGGCCCCGCTGCAGTCCTGACCTCCATGACAGAGCGAGAGTTCATTGAAGGGCGGAGACGAGCTCTGGGCAGGTTTCTGAATCTGGTGGCACGACACCCTGTCTTTTCCGAGGATGAGCTTGTGAAAACATTCCTCACCTTCAGTGGCTCGGTGTGGATTTTTTAAGCTAACCGTGTACTTGAATTTCTAGATAAACAGGATTATTTTTTTTATATTTTATACTGGAAGAAAAATGCATTTAAATGTACATTTGATATGCCAGTGCTGGCTTGAGAAAAGAATTTTTTTTTTAATATTCTTCCTAGACATTCATGTGACTTCCAGATTTCCATATTTATGTCCCACAGGATGTCCAAACTAAGCTTAGAGATGCTTGCAAAAAACTGGGTGATGAGTTCATGACATGCAAATATGCAACGCAGGCCAAGGTTTGAT